TTCGTTGTTAGAGCTGTTTTTTTAGCTGATGTATTGATGTTGCAGTGGCGAAAGAAGACCAACATAAAACGCCGGTCATTGATTCGCTCGCAAATTTTCAGCGTAGCAAATGTTGCGACATCCAAGGCTAGCATTTGATTGGCTATCTGTGAGTTCCTTTGATTATTGACCAATCAGAGTGTCTGGTTTGTTACTTTCTTTGCACTGAATTAACCCTCCTCTGCAATGAATGCATTTATCTTAATCAATCAGAACTAAGTAGTTTTTTCATGTATATTATTAACTGCATAACTTACACTTATTGCAAAAAGTTATACATCGGTGAAACAGGAAGACGACTAGGTGACCGATTCCAAGAACACCTTCGCGACGTAGAAAGAAATGACAAGGACGCATAGCGCATCCAAACCAGTCGCTAGACACTTTAATCTCCATAATCATTCTAAACAGCATGTAGCAGTTTGCGGTCTTTCCCCACATGTTGGCAGTTCGGAAATCCGAAAAACTCTAGAATAAAAACTTATCTTCCAAATCAGCACCTTTAATACTCACGGTGTCAACGAGCGCTTTTCATCTAACTAATTTATTCTTGTTTTCTCGTCACCATGTTCCCACCAATAACGTAGCTCCATTTTCTGCATATAAACCCACACACAACCTACAATTCCTCCAATTGGTCTGTCGAAGGGCTAACGCTCGAAACGTCAGCCTTTAAACTTTTTACGGTGGCCAATTTTTTCAACTTAGTTGTTAACACTAAATTACCCTGTTATACTCTCCCACTGACGCAGCACCACAGTTTCCTTAGAAACGTACTGTCTTTACTCATTCAACTTAAGAGGAATCCGTCATTGTCGCAAGGGAATTTAGTCTTTTCTAATGGAAATGTTCCAGGAGATTTCGCCTATACTGCTGAACATTTTCAGGGGAGTGCGTCGCTTGATGAAAAAAAGAAACAATTTCTTAATCAAAAAATACGAACTTTTCCTCGTGTGAACTCTTTTGCCTCATCATGCATGCCCACAAACACAGATGATAGACGGTAGACGACAGACGGAAGGCGGTAGACGGTATATGACGGGCCCTGATCCCGAAATTCAAAGTTGTCACGCCATCACGTGAATGTCACATAAATCTTTCTTTCACGGAGCAATGCGTTACGTTACTCGAACCTGTATTTTAAAAGCGGTCATCCAATATTGTGAACAGTGTTTGTACACTGGTCAATTTACAGGCTGGGGAAAATTGTATCAAACGTGCATCAAATTTATTTTCGTCCATTTTGGTTGACCCTGAGGGATGCCCTAGCCCTGATTAAGTATGTTCTTGGGGTTGGGTAAAGCCTTCAATATCTTTACTTTCCCACGATCTTTGACAATTTTTTTGTCTTCCTTCTCGTCCATGTCAGAAGTGGTTTAAGCAAGTTTTTGTGAATAAGGTGGCCCAATATGGCAAAAAATGCTCCTTTTTTTCCCATTTGTTTTTCTGTCTCGTGGAACTTGTATTAGGCGGTCACCCACGTAACGCCGTTAGAGAAAGATTTATGTGGCATTCACGCGATTGCGTGACAATTTTAAATTTCGTAACGTAACGCCTCGTGAAAGAAGGATTTATGTGACATTCACGCGATTTTCTTGATCATGTTCCGTCACACAATCCATCGTCAACCGTCTACCGTCTAACGTTCATCATCTATCGTCTAACTTTATCCGTCTACCGTCTATCATCTGTTATTTAGTACATACCGACCTAACTTGTATCGGATAAATTAACTGTTTGTGGTTTTAATACGCACACTCTAATTCTTGTCAATCTCGGTAAACTGGGCAATGTGTGGTAGAATGTCCTGACTGAACATTATTTGTCACGTAACTTTGTTTTCATAGGAAATATGCTTAAAACCACCCGCATAATTTACTGATGTTAAAATGACCTTTTCCGATTGAACGAAGAATGGATTTCTTCCGCTCTGATGGAGTCGCCACCAAGCGGATATATATCCCTAGCGTCATTTTGGTTGTTGGAAGGATGGATAGTTCTATACACACAGCATCCAGTGCGAAATTAATTCAAGGCCAGATAACTTCCCATCGGTTCCAAACTTTTCTTCAGTAATTTCTTCAGAATCGTGATACGCTTCTTTGTGTTTTTTTGACGCGGGGTGAATTTTTGTATTTCAGGAAAAATGGCTTCAGCAGCGGCCCCATCGTTTCATGCAACAGAAAAGACAGCTAATTACGCCCGGTTATGCAGACTTCTAGTGGATGTCAGTTCCCATATCCTGAGAGAGACATTTGACAAAAAGCGTCCACCAGAAAACCTGGAAAAAGTTCTGTCAACTCCAGAGATTCGTGATGCGCTACAAGAACTCAGAAGAAGAAAAGTACTGAGTCTATCACAATGGGGCAAACTGTACCCTGCCATCAAATCATCAGTCTCATCAAGAGATTTCGATATCACTCTACTGGTGGTACTGTTGAGGAACATTTGTGGTCTTGTTCGTCCAGCTACCGGCTGGGATACACTTCCTCCTGTGACAGACACAACCCTTGAGGCGGACATTGCGCGCATCAAGTACTACAGAAACACAGTTTATGGTCATGCCAGCGAGGCCTCAGTTGATGATGTAACATTTAAACAATACTGGCAGGACATCCAAGATGCATTGGTGAGACTGGGAGGAGCTGGTTACCGAAGTGCTATCGATGATCTGAAAAAGGAATGCATAGACCCTGATTTCGCAGAACACTACAAAGAGCTTCTTAAACAGTGGGTGATGGATGAAGTCAGTATCAAGGAAAGATTGGATAAAATGAAAGAAGAGTTGGAGAAGAGGTTTGATGACTTGGAAGTGAAAATTTTCGATCCTGAAAGGAGGAAGGAAACAGGAGGTAAAAGTGAATAAAGCATTATATTTACCAAATATATATTTAAAATATTAGAGTACATTCATGTTTTCAAAGCTTTTCTCAATCCGGACTGTTCTCGTTTGTTGAACGTCCGATGGCTCCCATGCATCCGTTCATCAGATCAGAACCACAATTACATGATAAAAAATTGAAAAAGCGTTCGTGTAACCTTTGAATGAAGAGTGCAAATAGAGATAGGGAGACATAAGCAAGTCACGTCAAGGGTTGTTAAACAGATTTATTTCTCATTGTTTGTTTTAAGGTAATTCCACGAAAATGGAGAGAAAAGAGGACGTCAACATTCTGATACTGGGAGAGACAGGAGTCGGGAAGTCCACCTGGATCAATGGGATTGTCAACTATTTGAAGCATAGCTCTCTCCAAGCCGCCATTGATGCCCGTGAATTCACTGTTTTGATACCTTTTAGGTAAAAATATGAACCTTTTGGTAATTTAAACATTTTGTTGAATTTTTTAATAATACGATGCAGTTTCGTGCTTTGAAAGACGTTAGGCCCAACGGTTAGCGAACTGAACTGCGGATCGAAAGGACCGAGTGGAACCCTGGGTGGGTTATTGCATTCTTGGGAAAGGCACGTCACTCCTAGAGTATCTTTCTCCACCCAGGAGAATGAATTGGTACCCGTAAAGTGATGCCATGGATTTACATCCTATCCATATGGAGAAGCAACACTCTTGAGTCTTACCTGCTTCGGTGGTTTAGGTCACTTAATCGCACGAGTGCTGCATGGTTTTACCAGTGTATTTTCTTTACCTTCTTAACCTTTCTTCGCGATTCTTTTCCAAGGACATACTTATAATTGTAGAGACGAGGGCTATTTAGGAGAGAACTTGTCTCAATTGTTTATCAAAACTTTCAAACTATTGTTGCGGCACTACTTTTCTTCGCGTTTTCCACCCGCTTTCTCTCTCTTGCTCCTCCTGTGACTATTGTGATTCACTGAAGTACGTTATCTCATTTGTGTAGTCTATCGGAGACCTGTATTAGATTTCTTTCAAATTGAGGAGGTTGCTCATTCAACGAACATTTATCTACATGGCGTTTACTTCACACTCGTTCCTGAAAATCCCTGGTGGACGACGGTACCAAAACCTGTCTGGCAGCTATTCATGTCTACGTTTTTGATCGATATGTTGAGTTTGTGAAATTCAAAGAATTGAAATATTTGAGAAGTAAAACAAATATAATTGTTTTTGAGTTTGTACTACACAATTCTGGCCGGTAAATTATAGGGAGTTAAGACACAGTCGAGTTCCCGTCAGGAAAACCCAAACCTCTGTCATTAAGATGGCCTGTAGAGATACATCGTAATACATTTAATCAAAATATATATTATTTTGACAGTAAAATGGTCTATTTATTCCAGGTTTGCCTATACGAATGAGAAAGGGGAAGGGACGGAAGTTTGCTTTGGTTCTGATGCAAATGAAATTTTCGCCACCGGTCGGTCTGCTACCCAGTCCCCTCGGGAGTATATGTTTGAGACAGAGATCGCCAAGTTCCACCTTATCGACACTCCAGGCATTGGGGATTGTCGAGGAACTGACAAAGACAAAGAACACTTTGAAGAAATTATGGCCTTTCTCAGCATTTACGACAAGATCCACGCCGTGGTGGTGCTCCTCAAGCCAAACAATCCCAGGTTGACTGTGGCCTTCAGGTTTTGTGTTTTGGAGCTGCTTAAGCACCTTCATAAATCACTGCAATCCAACATTATATTTGCCTTTACTAACTCCAGGGGAACGTTTTACCAGCCAGGAGACACCCTGCCAGTTCTCAAGGAACTCCTGGAGAAAAACAACCTTAAAATCGATGTTTCGCCTTCCAACTATTTTTGTTTCGACAACGAAGCTTTCAGGTATTTATCTTTCCAAGGTCTAAACTTTATTCCAGAGAACACAGATTTTTTTAAATTCATCTACTTATTTCTTATTCCTTTTTCACACACCAGACCCTAAATAAGCTAAGACTAAGGAGGATTTCAAGTTAAACAGATTTTAAAAAAACTTAAAGTTCAGCAGTAATGTGTTATCATAATTTTTTAATGAAATAAATTTCAGGACTCCGCGTATTATAAGCTTATTTTTGCGATATGTGTTTAAACCTTGGTTAAGAAGTATATCGATTGTAAGAAATATCATTGAAAATAGGGTATTTAATTCATCGCGCTTCAATGGCCTTTGAAATAAGGAAAGTTACAGAATTGAGTACATGTGAAACTTTAAAGGAAAGGGGTTTTTTAACGGTTGCGTTTGCTTCGCTTGGCCACGTAATGATCAACATTGCTTTTGCCGTAAATTATTTCCGTTAAAACTCCGAGATTTATTTGAAATATTGCAAATAGTTCAATAACACTACAGTTGAAAACAAAATGTGAGGTCAGAAGCCCATTTTGTTACTTTTAAAGCTCCTTTTCTACTTTGCACTGCATCCATAGTACATCACTTTTAACAGCTTCGACCGTCGAAAGTTGTTCACCTTTCCTCCCTTGAACTCTCGAAAATTTCTCATTCTCCTGTAGATAATAAATATTTAACAACTAATTACCGGGATGGAAGAGGCTAGTACAAAGATATGACTTAAACTCATTTCTTACTGCAACGATTACAATATTTTAGGACACAAATCCTGCGCGTGTTGCTTGGATGTGAATGGCAAAGAATAGCCGGAGTTTGAGTAGCTAATTAGGGCACGCCTTCAACGCTATCTACTGTTTTACTCAATACTAAATAGATATGTCTATCGACATATTATTTCGTATTTATGCATGTTAATATGCTTTGTCATCGACAGATTTCTTGCCTGCAGCAGGAAAGGAATTGAATTTACACCGAAAATGGTTGGCATCTACAAAGAGAGTTGGGACCTGTCGCGCGAAACTACGACCAAGCTCTTTCATAAAGTGATGGAAATGAAGCCACATGAGACGAAAGAGACTTTGAGCCTAAACAATGCAAGGGAATACACAGCGGCCTTAGTCAAACCCATGGCGGAAGCTGTCGAAATAATTAATTTCAACTTGAAGACGATTAAAACGGAAAAAGAGAAGTGCAAAGCCTGCGACAACGACATCAACCGTTTTCGAGCTCAGTTAAAGTTCAAAGGGTTTGATCTTACGTTTGTGAAGCTAGAATACCCCATGACTGTCTGTGCTGGTCAAGGATGTAAGACGTATGTGAATGTTGGTGAAGATCGTGTGAGGCGTACTGTCTATAGTCAGATCTGCCATGATCATTGCTACCTTTCAGGAGTGCCCTATGAGACTATCAACAACGAGAAGCTTCGTGATTGTAAGGCAATGAAAAATGATCTTTGCAGTAAATGTTCTCACAGCTACAAAGTCCACATGCATATCACCTACAAAACTACTCTCGTGCAGAATGAATTCTTATCTCAGAAAACACAGGAGATTATTTTGCAGAAAAAGGATATGAAGTCCCAGAAGGAAGAGTTCATTAGTTGTTTGAAAGCGCAAATTGATGAATTGAAGAAAGAAAAGAAATACATCTATGAAAGCGCATGCTTTTTCGGCGTCTTTCTCAAAAATAACGCCATGATCCCCTATAACGATGCCTTTGGCGAGTACATCGACATGCTAATCCAAGATGAGGAATCTAAGGAGAAGGAGATCAGAGACCCTGAGAGGATTAAAAAGTTTGTGAAGGAAAAACAGGCTTATGAGGAGAAGAAAAAACTCCTCATCGAAACGATGGCATCGCGCTCTGAGGGAGAGTCTGGAAATCTGCACATAGAGCAAATCTACGCTAGAAAAGAAAAGCTCTGTTCTTTGAAGTACAATGGAAAGATGCTGAAAGAGGCTCTAGGTATGATACTCCTTGCGTAAAATAACAAGTCATTACATTTATGAAGTTTTCAAAAACCGGCGGAAAAGGGAAAAATCAATTACGATTTGTTCACTCTTCATCAGGGAAAAGGAAATTTTAGTCATCTCTGAAAAAAGAGAAAGGAGAACCCAAAATAGAGGTTCACCTCTCTCGAGTTCGAAAGAAACAGCTTCGACCCTCTACAAAATATGAATGCTACACTTAGAAGTTTTATTTATGATAAGAAGTAACAAATGAAATATCTGCTGTCTATACATTAGTGAAAAGTGCTTATTTTGTCTGTTTTAGATGGCGTCATGTCTGCAACACAGAATATGTACAAAGAAAGGTAGGGCAAAATAATATCACTTCTTTTTCGCATGTTGCATCGGGAGACCACCATGTTTATTGATGAAATAGACAGACAAATTAGCAGAGAAGTCATCATATACAGACATCGTCAAACATTCGGATAAACTTAGAAAGGTTTTTGTGAAACGTGGAAAATATAGGCGCCACGAAAATTTACATCCTCGAAAGACCCAAGACCTCCCTGCACCACCCGTTCACACCACAACTCATAACTCATCGCATGAGGCGGGGGGGGGGGGGGAGGGAAGGGGATGGACGAATGGGGGGATCATATGGTTCTCAGGGGGAATGGAGAGGGGATCAGTCGTCACTAACAGAGTATATATGGGAGACTATAGAAAACTGAATGCCAATTTACTGCAAATGAGGGGGGTGTGGGTCCTAAAAATGTTAAATAGGCTTGGGGGTGGGTAACAAATGAGTTTGAGTTTTATTGTGATATAACCCTCCATGGGATAAATAATGATCAGTCCCTGATATTAGATTATTGTGTGTGCGTGCGTGCGTGCGTGCGTGTGTGTGTGTGTGTGTGTGTGTGTGTGTGTGTGTGTGGGGGGGGGGGGGGGGGGTTACATAGGCTTAGGTGGTGGGTAGCAAGTGAGTTTTTTTGTGACACAACCCTTCAGAGGATAATGATCAGTGCCAGATATCAGATTATTGTGTGCGCACAAAATTTAATTTATTGGCATTGTTTTAAAGCGGGTAGTCGTCTCAGGACTGCTATTTAGTGGGCCCTCCTCGTAATCCTAATGTGTAAACCAGATCTCTCTGTTATTATTTAGAGTCAGCTGCTTGCAAATCAATGGAAATGACCGTCTCTGGAGCAGCTTCCTCAACAAAGGGAACCCTTTCTGGTGAACTCCGTCAGCGGCAACCTCAGCATCTCCCTCAGTTGGGAGGGAAAGATTAACGAACGTTTGCATAGTCAATGATTTGTGCTCGTGAGAAGATATTTTATAAACAACATAATTTTCTGTGCCTCTGGTGGGTGGCTGACTTGGTATGTCTTCGACAATTGCGCACTATAGTTTCTACATTTGCTGTTTGTTATATTTACATTGCTGGCTTTTTTAAGGTCGATTAATCTTAACAAAAAGGAAATAAGCGTATCCTATGTCTCCTAATATCAAAAATACCAGGTAGAAATCTCTTTCCATGTTGCTTTTTTAAATTTAGCAATACTTGCTTTGAAGCAAGACTTCGCGACCAAAGCAATCAAGTAGAAAACGCGATATTTTGCGGCGGAGTTTAGCTGTTCCCAGAGGTGAACATTTTGCCAGTGCACAAGCTTGAAGAAAACTGTAATGGAATATTTCGAGTGCGATCAAATCTATTGATAAGGAAGTAAGAGATTTTTCGTAATGGGGAAAGTGTGATGACCGTTAGACAGTCTATTGTAGTTTAGGGTTAACCGAAAGGCCTTGGTTCCGTCTTTTAACTCTCAACAGAACAATCAAGTAGCTTGTTTGATATCCTGCTCTCACGGCACGTAATCGTTTTAGTTTAGCTCAGTTGTTTTTAATTTCGTGCCTTCGTATTATTGAGAAAACAAAGATCAAAAAGAGGCCAGCGTAGGATTATTATGTTAGTGAAGAACCTCTTTCTTTAGTTTTCGATCAAATATCGATGTTTTAGTTTCTGGAATATTTATCTCTTCAACTGACAGCACCGTGACGCCTTCGTGAAAATGATTTTAGAAATAAGCCTTTGCTCAGTAGTTTTGTTGAAAGCAAGGTTTTTGGCTTGCAGGCAATCAGTTAGGTTTTGTTCCTTTTGGCTAAATTGAGGTTTGTGGCTAAATGTTTATCAGCATTTAGTGAGTTTCGGAGTGTGTTATTCGCAAGAAATTACCACGGGTTAAATCATTCAACACGATACAAAGATTAACCTTAGTTCTTACCTTATACTTTATTATATTGAACTCTCAGCTTACGGCTTTCAACGGTTATACAACAATTAGATGTTAAAAGAAAGTGTGAAGAAGTGTGTTTTATATCTGACTTTTATTTAAAGGGGAGCCCATAAAATAGTACTTAAGTCGAGACCAGCCTCGACACTTTTTGAAAATCGCGAGTCGCACGCCGCTACATAAAGGTATAGACGCGACCTTATAAATTTTTATTAGTTAAAGTGATACAGCTCGAGGCCTGAGCTAAGTTCGATTATCAGCCCCTGTTCGACAACTGAGCTTGCTCTACTCCTTCTGAGTCAGTAACGCTTGCTAGGCAAGTCTCTACAACCCTTTTCGTTACGAATGTGTCAAATCACCATTGTTTTGGAACGATAAGGCAACCAAAAATTGAATGGCAGACGCATGTTACTGATATTTCGTCTGCAGCGAAAGCATGCTACAAATCATGTCAATCTAGGTTGTGTACAGAGGCCCCAAGGATCCCAAGAGTCTAAAATTGCTCTTAAGATTTTTTTATTTCATACATACTGTGATTTTCATTGTGAAGTACTATCGTTAGTGTCTCCGATTGAACGAACGATGTATTTTCGCAGTCGTTCGCATCCAACCTTTGAATTGAAACGTGAAAAAATATCAGTATGTATGAAATGAAAACATAATATCATGGAAAATGTGCACGAACGATTTTAATTCACGAGTTGTGATGCGTCAAAAACCTCACTCGTTCGCTCGTGCCATGATTTACGAAGTTTTTTATCTTCTTGAGACCGGCAGCCTCATTTGTATTAAGCATTAACGCTGGGTCACACTAAGAGCGAATTCAAATATTTGCCAAATTTTTAGCTGCGGTCGCATCAAACTAAAATCCATTGACCAAAAATTCACGGAATGATTCATGTCAATCACAAACCCATCTCACTCTAAAAAGAAAATGTAAAAAAATCTTGCGCGAATTGCTACGGAGGAACGGATAATTTTTTCCAGCTGATCATTTGCGTTTTGGTCGACGCTGGCTTCAATACTTGCAACGGTTGGAGAATTTCTAGTTCAAGCCATATTTTCTCTAAATTGCTGCCTGTACAACCGGACCCGGGGTACGAATCACAGACATATGTTCTCTAAATTGCTGCTAGAATAACCAGACCCGGAGCACGAGTCATAGACATTTGAATAAAGCTGGCGCTCAAATTCGTTTCCCTCGAAAGAAAAAGGGTTGGATGGACGAAGAAAATTCTGCTATCGCACGAAAAACTAGAGAAGCGGACTAAAATATTCTTTCCCGATGAAATTCTGTCTAGACATAGCCTTCAAATCATGACAGCTGAATGTTTAAGAAAACATAAATGTTTGTTTTGCCAAAATTTGGAGGCCACTGAGGCAGGACATCGGGTTCTTTGAAGATTGTAGAAAATTTTTGACGAATTGCAAAAGGCGTGTAAAACTGGGGGTCGCACTTATTTCACGCTTCTTTTGACAGATTTTTCACTCAAAACAAACAAAAAAAGTTCAAGTGCGATCCGGGCCCTACCCTAGCAATCAGCTTGTCCCTGAATAACGAGATAATCGTGTTACGTTACACAGTGTTCAATCTATTTAGTGGCCAGTGTATTTGAATGAGGATGGCGAAGAGATGATAAAAAAGATTAAATTACAATAACACATATCAAAATAAAATCCACTGCATGATGAAGGAGAATTGTTGTGGTGAACAGTCTATTCGCCTCCATCGCTAAAAGTGACGTCTGCATTACTTTCTAACAGGTTTACAGTATGCAGACCTTGAAAATGATTTCAGATACTCAGTTTGAAAGCATGGGACTGGCAATAGGTCATGTAGGAAAGATAAAGGCTGAAATCAGCGGAGCCCAGATATCAGAAGGTATGTTGCGTCTTTGGGGGAGCTTGCCAAAAGCTTACAAACGCAGTATTTCCACCCCACAAAATATAAGGTTCCTGGAAACCCTACTTCACATCATTTGCATATATAACCCCGTATTTCTCCCTTATGATCATTTTGGATGATAGTGGGAAGGGAATGATTTTCATGTGTGCCTTATTACTTTAAAATCATTTTGGACCACTGGACTAAATAAAATCTCTGATGCCGATAGAATAGAAAGACAACTGGAGCTGCTCACCCAAAAGAAAGCTCATTGCAGTCATAAATTCTTCCTCTTTCGTCAGATTTTCTGTTACTAAGAAAAAAACTGCATGTAATATGACGTGTTAATAATTTTTTCAGCAGTTCAAAAAGAGGCCAGAACTAGGAATCTAGTCGACAAAATCAGAAAAAATGAGCTAAAGATGAGAAACGAAAAACCCACGCCGCCTAAACTCAAGTGGATAAGAAGACAGTAAAGCAACGAAAAATGTACATTTACCACCGTTCCTCCGGTAACTCTTGCTTTAAACAAGTAAGACTGAAAGACAGTGGAGGCGTCCGTGAGTTCACGTACAGTGATGTCGATGAGATCTCGGTGGATTTTCTTAAGGGAAATGCCACAAAAGTTTTCTTCCCATAACAAGTGTCTAAGTTCGGTGCCTTAGACGATATGTGTTTGCATCTAGGTAACTACGCACAGGGAAGGATAACAACATTCACTGATACTGATGGAAAAACCTGTACCTTTCAAGAGTATCTAAAATCACGGGGCCTTTGTGCTAGCCGATCTAACGTTTACTTGATGTCGACATTCGTAAGAGACGGAGCGGAAGGATCAGCGAATGGCGCTTCGCAAGAAGAAGCTTGCAGAAAGCCAGCCGATTTATCCTAAAATGACGAAGACACATTTCAAACGCAGGACGTGTTTATGGGTTCTAGGAAAACACAGATATCTGGAGATTTCGAGCATCTTATGGCGACTAGTACACAAAAGACGTCAGCACAACTGAAGAAAACCAAAGCGTCCTCCTAGTGTTAAACAACCAGGTAGGAAAAAGCCCCTTCCCTGATCAAACTGTCAGTCAGTGGTAATAAACTGCACATTACCTACGAAAGTGTTACAAACTCGTCATTTTCTGATGTAGTAATGAGAGTTATGTCATTCCCAGGAGCACAGTGCTACGACGTTTATTCTTTTCAAGATCCTATAATTCAAGACATGCCGTTAACCGATTTTGACCAACTGGACTGTGGCTTCAACGTTGTCGACATTTCTAAAGGTGAAAAAGTCTTTCTTCAACGGGGTGACGACCCAACGTCTGAAGAAGGTTTCAAGGTAGTGTTTCCTCACGCAGATGTGCAATCCAGTAGCCTTATCGTGCACCCTCCATCTGAGGTTTGGGGCTACGATGACAAACAGCTGATATTGGGAGTTGTATCATCCTGCTACGTGTGGTATCGTGATGGAATCCAGATCAAAGCAGGAAACAAACATTGCTGTCTGCCAGTTTCTTTACCAGGTAGTTATCATATCGAGGTGCACTACAGGGAACAAAAGACTACGTCGGAGCCAGTTTTGGTTTGCAATTAAGAGATTTGGAACCTCCGAGTGCCTCTGCTTCCGACACAAGCGCCAAGGCGAACTACACCCCACTGCCTGTTGTGGAAAAGGAAGAAATTAACTTTGCAGCGGGAGATGAGCTTATGGCGTAACATACCGTTCAAAATTCAGTCAGGGTATTTTCCCTATCGAAAAATTAATTTTCGTGTCGGAAATCAATTAACAGGGTCCGTTATTGTTGGCCTCTTTCAGACCTTCTCATTGTCTGCTATTTCCCGTGTCTGATATTATTTTCCGTGTCTGATATTATTTCCCATGTCTGTATTTATTATTTAAATGGATTTCGACTTATCACCGTGCTTTATATTAATGCTCGAGTCCTTAAATTATTCGTTACAATGGTCGAGTCCGAAATTGGTCTCATTGCCGGAGCCTGATAATTTTCTCAATCGCCGACTCTGATAACCACAGAGTACTCTCCTACCTAGACTTCTCACGGTACAAGGTTAGGATAGTTTTAAACTGTATATCAATAAAAAAGACTGCAGTTAGTCTTCTCCTTTAACTTCGTGTATATTGAAATGTACCATTAGCATAAGGGTATTGATTAAGACCAAATTAAGGAAGCATTTCTCTACTTCCTCGCAATAAATGAAGAAAGCCCTGTTTTGGTATTCATGGCGATTTTGGCAAAATTTTGACACTATCATCACAGTTTGTTAAGTTATCGTACAATATCTGACGGATTCTCCAAATGAAAGTATCTCTGGAAAAGTTATAACATAAACTTTTCATGAATGTTTTAACGCTACAACATACGACAATAATCAGCTCGTGCTTTAATAACATGCTAGTGGAACCGGAAAGCCACCTTATAGAGAAAATCAGCAACATTTGAGGGAAAAAGAAAGTTTACAGTGGTAGATATTTTGTCGTAAAGGGAAGTTTAAGAGCAAGTAAACTTGTAAAGTAAGATGAAACCAAACCAAAAGATTCCACAGCCATTCTGCCACAACAATTTATTATTCACTAAATGTTGTGCACATGACTAATCACATCCCTATTATTAAAAACAAAAAACTTGATCTTCTTGCATTAAATGTATGAGAAAAAGATAAATAAAAGCTTTTAAAACGATGCTAATATAAAACCTAAAGGAACGGGTAAACGCTGAAATTATCTGTTACGCCATAATATAAAATGGTCTTGTCTATCTTATTTAGTTTAACACAACGTCAAAAGTCGTCAGCCTATGATTCAAATTTGGCATTTTAAAAAGGCAATGGAACTCAGCCTAACGTATAGTTTGACCATCTCAACGAAACTGTCTCTTTATTTATTACAAAAAGAAGAATAACTAAACCATGTTTATGGTTATGATGCAGTGTTTTCACGTGCGCTGTATTTTTTTTTCTTTTCTCGCTAACGTCATACTCGCTTAGCTAGTAGAAGTTCCAAGTTTCAGAGTACAAAAGCACCTTCTGCTGCCAAATCTAGCAATAGAACTCCAGGTGAGACCTTGCAAAGGAACACACCTTTTGCCTCTATAGTAGAAGTTGCAAGCTCCAGAATACTTAAGCACCTTCC